ACTATCACCGTGGTACAAGGAACCGGACCATAACAATGTGTGTGTGGGTGTACTCCATTCTGCCTATATATATATATATATATATATATATATATATATATATTGTCATCCACAGACTGTTTCCTGTTTTGCTGTATCACAGCTCTTCACTGTAGCTAGATGTCTAATTGCTTAAAGACAGAGTCGAAACCTGGCCCCTAGGCTATTGTCACACAGCAGAGAGAAAGGGAAATTTTAATGTTTTCTACACAAAATATGTCAGTGGCCAAGAGGGCTCAATATATATACCCCACTGTGCCTATATATATATATATATATATATATATATATATATATATATATATAGGCATGATGGAAAATATATATATATATATATATATATATATATTATTATTTTTATTATAAAGATTATAATAAAAACATTTTTGAATTGCTACACAAAAGATCTCATTTTTCAATACTATGATTGTACTTACTTACAATCGCCTGAAGAAGTACAATCATAGTATTGAAACATGAAAGCTTTTGTGTAGCAATTTCAAAACGCTTTTATTATAATCACTTATAATAAAAAATATAATAATAATATATTACTCTACTTCGTACTGAGCAACTTAAAAGTAAATACTACAAACAGTAGATTTTTACTCCATCTTTTTTTTCTCTCATTTGGATATGTCCTTAGAGAGTTATGAATCCATCTCTTTTACCTCCAGCTATGGATAAATAGATGGGGATGGAGTGTGAGGTTCTCTGTAGCTGTGTTGATGCATGCTGCATCAGATGGTGGATAAAGAGGGACAGAGGTTTGAATGCTGCTGGGGGAGGGGGTATATTTTCTTTATTAATTTTTCTCAAATACACATGCTGGTAGATGAAGTACACAATATATGAGGTAAATTTGGATTTCTATTCTATGTAATATATATCTATATCAATCTATATCTATCTATCTATCTATCTATATGTATATATATATATATATATATATATATATATATATACACGAATGTAATGAGAACAAAAATAATATAGAAATTCTAATATTCACAGCATTAATTCAAAAGAATTTAAATGAACTAAAATAAAGTTGCATATTTGTAGTGAGTAAATTGTTTTTGTCTATATGAGAAAATTATAATAAATATATATATATATATTTATATATATATTGTGTATATTTTAGCAGCATGTTTTCATTAAGACATGTCTCATTGAATAATTTAGACAAATTTTGTCTACTTATTTTCAGTAGGATCCTCTCATATTCGTGGACAAGCTTCTTAGTATGTTTATTAAAGGAAGAGAGAAAATTACCATGTTGATACATATTCATTTATTCCAAGTACTTTCAACATTAGCAGAATGTAATCATCATGGTGTTTTTTTCTATGACAAAATTGAAACTTAAATTTGTTTAACTGTGAAGTGAAAAAACGCTAAGGTTATGTACTGTATAATTTAAATTTCACAATGTAAACATCAGGGGAGGTAACTAAGTTTTGAAATGCCTATATGTTTTTTTTTTAAAAAGAAACCCAAAAAATGAAAGTACTCAGAATAAATGAATATGTATCAACACAGTAATTTTCTCTCTTTCTTTAACAAGAATACTAAGAAACTTGCCCATGAGTATGAGAGGGTTGCAGTTTGGATAGTCAGGTGGTCAGATGTAAGGGTGATGTGATTGCAGAAATTGTCTGACAGCCATCACTAGGTTTTTCTGCTTATGTAGCATGGTGCAGAGTCATATTTCCAGACATAGGCTCTTCCAGCAGCCATCTTCTTGACCCAGGACAGCACTACCTCCTCAAGGCACTTGATGTAGACTTGTGTTGAGTCTGAGGCCCTCACCAACAAATTTGGGAATTCTTTTCTTATCAGAATGATCAGAGTGAGTTTTCTAAGCTGTCGTATCTTTGTAATCACCATTAGACTCATCCAACTCAGATTGACAACTAAACACTCTGAATTCAACCTTCTGGCATGAAAACCAAGCAGTATAGCATGCTGTTTCCAAATTTGTGGCAGAGTATATTGCATCATGGTGCACGTTTTCTCACAGAACAGGGCCAACTGACCTTACTATACTGTGCATTCGACAAAATCAAAAACAATACACATGCATGAAATTAAAAATATAAAATGCCAACAATTTACCCATCGCACCCTGTATAAAAAAGTTTTATTAAAAATGCCTAATGAGGTTCTGCAGTTAAGTTTTTTATTTAATTTTTCTTGTGTTTTTGTAATTTTTGTATTTTCTGGACATAAATTATATAGAAATTGTCCGAATGTTCTGTATGTCCAGAAAAGAAGAAAAATATAAAAACATAAGAAAAATTAGATACCTATTTAACCACATTACAGCTGTTTTTAATTAAACTTGTATAAAAGAGTGATTGCTACCCAAATACTTAATTATATATATATTTATGGCAGCATATTTTCATTTAAATGTGTTTTGTTGAATAATACAGGCATATTGTGTCTATTTATTTTATACTGAGCCTTTCAAGTTGCCTAATTAGTTTCTTGATATCGAGATGTACTCCATCAAGGAAGGCGCTGCAGTTTGTTTTAACCCAATTAAGATCATTTTCAGGATTAAATTACAAAGACAAACATGGTATTGTAACTGTGTTAAACTGAAAGACACACTTAAACATGTGTTTGTGTAGTTATGCTAAAATTTTTAGTTTTTTGGTGGAAATCTGCGTTTGTTGTCGTAGTGATTTTTAAACATGTGTAAATGTGTTTTGTTATAGTTTTTATAGAATTTCAAAATTTTTATCTGCTGTATATATGTTTATATTATTCAACAAAACACACACACATACATATATATATATATAAATATATATATATAGAGAGAGAGATAGACAAAATGAAATAAAAGTGTTAGTTACTAATACTAGCAAATAATATGTGTAAAATTATAATTATATAATTTAACATATATCAAATTTAACAGATTTTCTATTAATAAAGTGCTCAATATAAGACTAGAACAATAGTTGTTATTAAAATATATATATTGAAGTATTGAACATTTTTACTTCTATTTTAATAATAACTATTGTTCTAGTCTTATATATATATATATATATATATATGAAGACAAACGTCAACACAGTGGCGACAGCATGTTAAGAGCTTGAAAGCAATCTTCACTTTATCATATCTCTCTCTCTATATATATATATATATATATATCTATATATATATATATATATATATATATATATATATATATATGTATATGCTCTTGAAACTAGCTTTCAGTTGAATACTCTGGATGACTGGCATTTGTTTACATTTGTAAAAACAATATGATAGAATTCACCCTCTCTCTCAGCCGAGTGCTGATGGCTTAGGAGTAGAAACTCCGATGGACATCAAATCGGTTGGATTTACATTCTGGCTTGAAGTATTTGGATGTCTAGTCACACTTTTGAGCTGTGATATAGTGAAACAGGACTGTATGCGGATGACATACATACATACATACATATAACTGAACACGGAAGTCAACACAGAGTGGCGACAGTCTGTTTAGAGCTTGAAAGCAATCTCCATTTTATCATATCTATCGATCTATCTATCTATCTATATATATATATATATATATATATATATATATATATATATAAATATATGTATATTGATTTTTAATTGCTTGTTTTTAAGTTCAATGCCTTGAGGAATTGGAGTCACGTTTGTGTTCTTGATAAGATCTATATACATATCTATATCTATATATATTTAGGGTGAGATGGGTCAATTTTATATTTTTAATTTTGTGTATGCATGTTGCTTGTTTTTTATTTTGTCAACTGCACAATATAGTAGGGTCAGTTGGGCACCACCTGTGAGAAAAAAAGCACCATTACACAATTCTCTCAACCAGAAATTTGGGAATGGCATGTTGTACTGCTTCGCATTCTTGCTGGAAGCTCAAATAAAAACATTTCAGTGTTTGGGTGTCAATCTGAGGACAGTGCAGAGGATTCAGAAAGAGTTGGATAAGTCTAATAGTGATTACAAGGTATATATAAGAAAAGAACTGTTGAATTTGTTGGTGGAGGCCTCAGATTCAAAACAGTGGCCTTCATCAAGTGTCTTGAGGTGTTAGTGCTGCCCTGGGTCAAGAGGGTGGCTGCTGGAAGTCCCTATGTCTGGCAACAGGACTCTGCACACATGCAAGACAACTCAATCATGGCTGTCAGACAATTTTTGTGATTACATCAACCCTTATATATAGCCACCTAACTCCCCAAACTGCAACCCTCTTGATTATTATGTGTGGGATGCAGTTGACCAAGAGATCAACAAAACTCTTTGTAATACCAAAGATGAACTGAAGGCAAAGATTATGGTAGCACCTGAAACAATGAGACCACCTGGAAAAGATGCAGGAGATTCTGAAGTTGTCTGGAGGCTGTGGTTGAAACCAATGGTGATTTTATTGAATAAATTTACTCTTTAGTATTTCAAGATATTTTTGTGTAATTGCAGTAAATATATGTGTTAAAATGAGATATTAGTGTTATTTTCATTTTTGCTTCATTTAGATAACTTCACATCCTGTATATATTATAGACTACCTAAATTAGCAGATGCAGCAAACATCAGAAAGATCTAAGTCCATATATGTTACATGATATTTATCAGATGATGGCAAATGACATCTGTTATAATTTCAAGAAAGAAAATATGCTTTTAATACATCCAGAGAAAATTTTCTCAATGGAAATAACTACTTAGTTGTATCTTGTTTTAATTCCTTGTGTATAACTTTTGTCTAAAATGTAAAACAAATAAGCAAATTGATGATCAGCTTACAACATAAAACTGGTTGGTTATATAGCAAAATATTTTTTTGCAAAAACGAAAACGTGCCCTAACGTGAATGCCACAAGTTGTATTTTAATCTTTGGCATGAAGAAATTTTCTTTTTTGATTCAAATTTTGTTACATGTTCAGCCTGTTGATGAAAGATGGAGAGAGGAAGTGAATTTGGCAAAAGTGTGAAGTGAAGAATTTAGCTGTTCATGTGGATGCAGCTGGCTAATGCCTAAATAAAACTATTTTTTTTTTCTTTTTTCTTTTGCAGAGATTTGAGATCAAATAAGATAAAAAGCATTCCACCTGGTTCTTTTTCGGGACTCAATCATTTAAATACACTGTGAGTATAATATTCAAATATACTTATAATTCTTTGCTTTATTTGAATATCTCTCAATGACATTTGATAAAATAAATAAAATGACTTAATTGATACAAAGACATTTATTCAATTTTTTTTTAGTTGAACTATTCTCCATACTTTGGTAACATATTTAACTTTGGTGTCATTAAAAAGACAGTTTTAAAAATTCCATCTTTTGTTTTTTTTCTTTTCCTAGCATCTTTTTTGTCTTTATATATATTTTTTTAAATGAATGTCTTTTTGTATTTCTCCTCTAAGATTTGTCTTTTTACATCAGCCTCTGTCATTTTCCTCCTAGGCTCTGTCCTTTTCCTCCTAGGCTCTGTCCTTTTGTCTTTTGTCCTTAGATACTGTTTTTTTTGTCCCCCAAATGTTCAGTCTTTTTTTCAGTAGCACTATTCTCCATAGTTGTTGACTTTTTAAAAACTTCCATCTTTTGTTTTTTTTCTTTTCCTAGCATCTTTCCCCAGCCGTCAGCCTTTGTCTTTTCATTTTATTTTTTTTCCCTAGCCTCTGTCTTTTTTTCCTTCATGTCTGTATTTTTTTCCCTTATACTCAGTTTTCTGTTTTTGTCTCCCAGCTTCCATTTTTTTTCCCTAGGCTCTTTTCTTTTGTCTTTTTTCTTTTAGTTTCTGCTTTTTTGTCTTTTCTTCCATAATCTCTGTCTTTTTTTCATTAGTATCTTTCATTTTGTCTTTTTGTTTCTCTATTAGTCTTTTTTTTTCTCTTTCCTGTAATTATTTCTTTTTTTAATGTATTATATTGTATTATATGCATAAAGTTTTCTTGTATTCATGGTTACAGGGTCTGTCTCTTTTTTTATTCAGTTTTGTACTCTTATCTATTTTTGTTATATTTTTTTCTTGTTTTTTGATACAATCTGTATTATTTTTACAACATTTTTTTGATATTTTTTCATTTTATGTTTGATTATTGGTTAATCTTCTTTGTATTATGCCTTTTATAGACTTTTATAACTTTTTATAGCTTTTTACTTTGTATTATGCCTTTTATAGCCTTTTAATCATTTATAGCATTTAGCCTTTTATAATCTTTTAGCCTTTTATAGCCTTTTGTTTTGTATTATGCCTTTTATGTATATTTTATTCAAATTTTTTTCTCATTTTCATTCATATTTTAATTTTTAACCTTAAATTTTCTTTTCTTTTTTTTAATACTTATTCCAGAAATAGAAGGTTCCTAGATATTCAAGTTTTAACTATCTTCTTTTTATATGATTCATTTCATCAGAAATACATTTGGACAGATTTTATTCATAATGATGAGCAAGAATTTGAAAAAAATGGTGGCTGGCCACTCATATCCAAATCTGCCTGTCTACTAGGGTGATGAACCTGCTCAGGGACATTCGTATTTATTCAACATGCACAGAGCTTACTTACTATGCTGAGTGGACATTAGTTCTGAGAGAGAGTACATTATCTGTCGTGATCAACAGTTTCAATAAGGCCAGCATGCTCAAACCCTTAGTCACAATGACTTGTAACTTTGTGCTAGCACAGTGGCTCCCAAATAGTTCGGTCTACCCAATTTCCCTCACAAGGCTTGGCTCAACCCATGGTATAGTTTTCAGGCACTTTCCAAAGTTGCCACACATTGGGATCACTTACCCAGGTCAATAACATCAAGAAGTCATCTTCCTGTTTGATTGATTGTGACAAGATTTGAACCCAGGTCTCATGATAGGAAAATGAACGTTCTAACCACTTGGGCATTTGAAACAAATACTTACCAAACAGATACATATATAGTTGTCAGCAGCAGCAAAAAAACAAAAAAAACAAAAACAAAATGTCAATTATGTTTTCCATTGACATTCCCTCCCCTCTCCTCCCATGACATTTTCACTGGGTTTCACTGTCCCAAAGGGTGTGGTTTGTAGATAAAGAATATGGAATTTCAGCTGAAAAAGAATATGTATATGCCTACTAGTCTTCTTAAGCCTGGATAAAGCTGCATGGGCATTGACTTGAAAAAGACATACATGTCTATATTTCAGAATAAAATCTGCAAAAGTGAAAAAAGAAATTTTATTCCTCTCTGGGAAAACTGAAAAACTGATGTTATAAAACATCTGCAGAATAAAGACATTTTTAAAAATAAACAAACATTATGAGCATCATGAAACACTTTCTTTTAATAATTCTTCAAGTTTTATATCAATAAAAAAACATTATCAGCATCATGAAACACTTTCTTTTAATAATTCTTCAAGTTTTATTTCAATAAACAAACATTATCAGCATCATGAAACACATTCAAATTTTTTTTAATAATTCTTCTTTTAATAATTCTTCAAGTTTTATATCAATAAACAAACATTATCAGCATCATGAAACACTTTATAATAATACTTCAAGTTTTATATCAATAAACAAACATTATCAGCATCATGAAACACTTTCTTTTAATAATTCTTCAAGTTTTATATCAATAAACAAACATTATCAGCATCATGAAACACTTTATAATAATTCTTCAAGTTTTATATCAATAAACAAACATTATCAGCATCATGAAACACTTTCTTTTAATAATTCTTCAAGTTTTATATCAATAAACAAACATTATGAGCATCATGAAACACATTCTTTTAATAATTCTTCAAGATTTTTGATGCCATGTCCTTTCAGGTGATCTTTTTATTTTTTACAATGATGTACATCCTGTACAAGGCCCAAGAGCCACACTAGGAAGAGGTTACAGAGTAAGGGGCACAGTTTATGGGGATATATGAGAAAGATAATGGTTAACCTTAGATAAAGAATGTAGGGATCGAGGAAGCATTCTCTTAGGAGTCAGTTCCACAAAGCAGCAATTTGTGGGAAGAAGATGCTCAAGTGGAACTTACATTTCATTAATGGAATACAAAGAGTGATTCACTAGAATGTACATGGTATGGCAGCTCTTAGCCATGAAGGTTAGAACTGGTGGAATGAAGGAATGAAGAATTTCTGTATTCTTAGGCCATTTCTTTACAATTAGGTTCATCTATTGCCCAGTTCACACTCCTCTTTGTAGTTCTTTTCAAAGTCTTCTCATTTTCTTTTACTCAAAGTAACCTCATTCGTCTTAGTGGCATTATCACCTTGCTTGGGGTGAATTGTTTAAAAAATTAACTGAAAAACTAAAGGTCAATCTTAAAAATTTTAGAATTTTTTTGTAAATGTTTTTCATGTCTGATCAATAAAACAGAAAAAAAAATCAAACTTTTAGATCTAAATTTTTTTTCTTTAGCTCTGTAACTGACCTCTAGTGGTGTCCATTGACCTTGGAGGTCAGAAGTCAGCACAACATATCCTATAATCTCTTTCTGTTCAAATCTCCCCCCACCCCCACTGCTGTACTAATTTTTTTTTTTTGTTAATTAATTGTAATTTTTTTTTTTTAAATATGTGTTTTGGGTATATACTAACCAATTTTATTTATTTTCTCTTTCTTTTTTTCATGTTTGTGAGAAAGGTGTTTGTAGGGTAGAACAATAATTCCTCACCCACAACTTGAAATAATAATAAGGAAAGAGGACTTGGAAAATTTGATACTCACAGAACAGATTGAAGGCAAGAGGGTCAAAGGAAAACAATGTATAACCTATCTAGTGAGCTTGTGTAAATGGATGGCATAACAGGGTTTAGGAGTGATAACAAAAAAACAAAACTTATTGAGAATACAAAGGTTAGGAAATTGTGGAGAGCCATGATCACCAATCCATAAAGCAGTGGTTTGTGGGAAGAAGCTGCTCAAGGGGAACATACATCTCATTGGCAGGTCTTTTAGCTCCAAGTTTTTTTTCTTTAGCTTGGAAAAGCTTTGTTAATCTGTAACTGACCTTTGGAGGTCAGCACAACATATCCTATAATCTCTTTCTGTTCAACTTTCACCCCCCAATATTTTTATTTTGTTAATTAATTGTAATTATTTTTTTTTAATGTGTTTTGGGTATATACTAGTCAATTTTTTTTAGTTTCTCTTTCTTTCTGTTCATGTATTTATTATTAAACATTCCACATTGTAATAATAGACCGTCTGCCAAGAAAGGTGAAATGTTGTAAGGACCTGCTTCATGAGAACTTCTAGTTGTGGGACACCACTTATATAGTCTAATCAGGTCACGTCATGAAGGAGTGTCAACAGTTTGGAATAAATTGGGCTATAGTGATGATATTCAGGTCTTGTCATGTTACTTATTGTTGAAGGTAGAGTATAAGTAGGAAATAGACCTTTTTTTTTGTTTACAGTAAGGTTCACCCTGTATAAACCCAATAGTGGGTGGGGCGGGCACTCAGGGTTACATTAAGTGGTAGTTTATATGGATAGAAGATAATAGTTGACTCTAGCCTTGAACTGGTTAAGATTTTAGTGATCAAGAAAGCATTCTCTTGGGAGTCTGTTCCATAGAGCAGTGGTTTGCAAGAAGAAGCTCTTTGAATGGAACTTACATCTTGCTGATAGAATACAGAGAGAATGAGGTGGGTTTGTTACTATGTACTATGTAAGTGGCATGGCATGGCAGGTCCTAGCAATAAAGATCAGACCTGGTGTAACCAGGAGATGGACTGCATCTGAGCACTTTCCATGGGTGCAAATTTATTGTGGATGATCTAGTAATTAAAGCACATTCTATACACTTTCATCTTAGTAAAGTACTGCATTTTGCTGCTTATAAGATGCATTATTTTTTCTGCAAAATATCTCCAAAAAACACTCTTCAAATTGGACGTTGGTGATGGGATGCAATCAACTGAGACTGGATTTTACTAGTGTTCCTTAACGCTGCAATAGAAACACATCTCACATAGCCAAAAAAATTTATTTTTAAAACTACACATAACAACACAAACATAAACACATGTTTAAAAAACAAAAAAAAATAAAATAAAGATCAGGTAAAATTGTTTTGTGGATATATTAATAGAGTAACATCTATATATTTGAAATAAGAATTTTTTTCAAAT